CATTTCATAAATGCTTCGTTTGCTTCACACTCTTCAGTAACAGCTAGAATGGTTGATCCAGTCTTCTGAAACAGCCAAAACGGTGGATCCTTGAGGGGGGGGGGGTCGCACTTATATATATATATATATTCATGATTTTAAATGTAATTGTACAGTTTTGAACCTGTTTCTCTACCTGATTCTACATATATATATACACACACATACTTCCCATTTCTGTTTCAATTTTCATCAGGATATATGCTTGTATATACGTCTAAACAGGGCTTAAGGTCTAGAGCTATTTGGTTTATGGTTTGTTTGATCGAGGGTTTAGGGTTCTGAGACAGCAGGAAGATGTTCCGGAAGCTGTGCCTAACTAAACCCGACAACTCCTCGTTGACGTCTTCTTTCTTGTCGCTCTGCTCCGAAAACAAAAGGACCATTCACCCATTCACTATACACTAGACCCGAAACAGCTTTCCTAAAACCCTTATACCGTAATCCCAGATACTTACATCCACTGACCGACATCCTATACCCTCACACCTACACATGCGAGCACCCCAAGCAAGGCCAAAATAGGTACAGATACTAGTAGGTATCTTAGGGTTAATCCCTAGACCATAAGCCATGCAATATAAATCCTATACGTCCTACAAAGCTGTAAACCAACAATCTGGGTTCCCGGCAGTAGGTCAATCCTGGGACCCCAGTTGCCCGTCACCTGCAAACGTCGAGGTCAGCAGAAGCGTTTATCCAATGTAGGGGCCTTATTCATAGTTTGAAGAGGGTATTGGGGTATACTGTATACAATCCTAAACCGCCTCACCAACACCCCAGGATTAAGGTTCAACACGTCTGCTTAAAAGGTGTGGGGTTCATGGTTTAGGGTTTAGGGTTCAGGATTTAGTAAGGGGTGCTTCAGAATAGTTTGAGGGAACTTCCCAAAAGCCCCAAAGAATGAGCACGCAAAGTGTCAGACTCCTACACGCTAGTACTAGATCTTAGCGTGAAGGTCTTGGGTGTAGAGTGCCGCCGGTCTTTTCCAAACTCCTCGACCCTTACATACACCCAAACTGCACCTATCTCCAACACACACTGCCAACACTAAAGACTAAAACCCCAACCCCTAGACCGTGAACCCTGAAACACCCCCAAGCCCTAAAGTCAAGACATAAAGAGCTAAACAACGGCTTGGATTCAAGCTTGTGGGGTTTAGGATTGCTGTAACCTGTGGGGCTTATCTGAACAGTCTCTGAAGTCTCAAGAGAATCTATCTGTAGATCCCGGCTTCCTGGCACTTGCTTTTCCAGGTCACCCAACATCCTCTTCAGAATGCACAGACGTTGCAGCCCTAAACCCTAGACCTTGAACCTTGCAGCAAGGAGACCCCCAAATCGAAAATTCATGAGGGTACTCTTAGGGAGCCCCCTAATGGCCCGAACACGGAAAGGCTGCAGCCTTCTTTAGGGGCCTTGAAAACTAGCATAGGCTTCTGGGGGATTGTCTAGTATACTATGAATTTATAATTTTGGGGATTCCTTATTACAATAAGGGACCCCAAAATAGTGTTCGTAATTATCTAAATTTAAGCCCCTCTATGAAGTCGAGAGCTTGGCAATCCTGAATCCTGTAGCTGAAGGTGCATGCAGAATCACTGTTCGGGAACATACCATAATTCCCTAAACTTAAGGTATACCCATAAAAAGCAAAATACCATAATTCCCCATAATTTTCGGTCCTTAAAGTAATGCAGGATTGATATCATCAACACTAGTACTATTGCCGTATGCTCGTACGAATAAATATCTATATCTATGTGTATATATATATATATATGTATATTATATTTTTATATCCAAGCCCTGCTCGAATGACGAGGGCCCCGAGAGGATGCTCTCCAAAACCCCAAATAACCCTTACAACACCCAAAAAAGAGCCCCACTAATACGCCTGTAACCTTACGGTTTAGGGTTTAGGGTTTAGGGGTTGTGACCTTGCGAAAACCCCGGGGAAATCCCTGAGCGTCCTAAACCTTACAGCACTGACACCAAACAACCTCAAGAGAGAAAGCCCAGACCCTGAACATAAACCCGGAACGGTTTAGGGTTTAGAGTTTAGGGTTTAGGGTTTACGGTTTAGGGTTTAAAGCCCTAACCCCCAAAATCAACTAAAACCCCACCTGGAGTTGCACCAGGTTCGTGCCGGCAGTGAGAGCTGTTGAAATGCTCCGCCAAGAGAATCGACTCCTGCCTGGGGTTGGCTTAAGGTTTTGGGTTTTAGGGTTTAGGGTAGTTTAGGGTTTAGGGTTTAGGGTTTAGGGTTTTAGGATTTAGGGTTTAGGGTGGCTTAAGGTTTTGGGTTTGGGTGTTTGGGGTTTAGGGTTCAGGGTTTCAGGGTTTAGGGTTTTGGGTTTAGAGTGGCTTAAGGTTTTGGGTTTGGGTGTTTGGGGTTTAGGGTTCGGGGTTTCAGGGTTTAGGGTTTTGGGTTTAGAGTGGCTTAAGGTTTTGGGTTTGGGCGTTTGGGGCTTTGGGTTCAGGGTTTCAGGATTTAGGGTTTTGGGTTTAGAGTGGCTTAAGGTTTTGGGTTTGGGTATCTGGGGTTTCCGGGTTTGGGGCTTAAAGGGGGGTAGGGATTTAGGGGTTTGGGCTTTAAAGGGGCTAGGGTCTAGGGGTTTAGGTGTCTAGGGATTAGGGTTCTCTCCCTCTCTCTCCGTGTCTCTCCCTGTCTATATAGAGTCTATACCTTGTGCTGAGTTCTACGGGGGAAAAGGGATGGGCATGTGGTCGTCCTGCAGTGGTAGAATCCCTAAACCCTAAACCCTAGACCCTAGACCCTAGTCCCTAAACCCTAAACCCTAGACCCTAAACCCCTAGAGTCTATACCTTGCACTGAGGGCGGAGCTTCCCGCCCCACGGGCAGAGGGCCGGAAGTCAAGGTGGTGTGTGACGACCACCTGGGCGCACAGGGGTTCAGGGGCTGGTATATGGTTTATTATAGGGTTTAGGGGTTTAGGGGTTGAGGGTTTAGCGTTTCGGGTTCACGGCTTCTGATTTTAGGGTTGTGGGCTTATGCGGCTTGGGGCCTGAGGATTCACGCCTGCATCTTGGCGGTCCGAGGCCTTGCTAGAAGAAGCTGAGAGCCAGGTGCACCAAGCAAGGTAGTGAGGATGCATCCGCATTCGAGGTACTTAATACTCTACTTTCGATATCCGGCGTTTCCGTCCAGCATTGGGTCTAAGAGTGTATAGGGCTCAATCAACCCTAAACCCTAAACCCTAAACCCAGAACGAAATCAAGGCTCCTGCGTCACAGCCTTCAACAACATGGACAGGAGCCCTTAGAGTTATAGGCAGGAGGCCTCAAAGGGAACGGTTAAAGGAACCCTACAGCCCTATAGACCCCAAAGAACCCTTATGGAATCCTGGAAGCCTTAAAGGAACCCCTTACTATTCCCAGGAATTGCGCAGGGTTCGGGTTTCGGTCTGTGCAAACTCCGCTCCGGCTATTTCTCAGCGAAATGACCTCGGAGGTCCCATTTAGATCTCAATGATGAGAAGTTCCCAAAATGAGGACACGGAGAAGGGAAGGACTTTACCCTAAGACTCCCACGCCTGTGAACTCCGAGATCCCACCCGCTGTACTTTGCCCAAGCTGCACCGTTCACTCGCAGCCGCAGGCGACGCTGCGTGGGGGAGCGGACCTGCTTCCATGGATGCCGGAAGCTGAGAGTGGCGTACGCAGCTGTTCATGGGATTTAATGATCATACTTTCACGGATAAGGAAACCATAGTCGTAGCTACTTATAACACCATGTAAGCTGTACATAAGAGTTTGGGTTTAGAGTGTGAGACCCTCGCCCTAATGCTCAGAATAACCTCCTAAAGCTCCAACACTAGGGTATTTCGGCCCAAAAAGGCTTGCGCAATGTTTTCCCGGGCCTCCGGCTAAACCCTGGGAGCTAGGATTAGGGGGACCCTTGGGGATGTAGACCCTCTCAATAATTTAAGAGAGCCAAAAGTAGGGTTCAGAGGGGGTACTCTTTAAGGGGTACCCCTAATAATACTACCTAAACCCGACAAGTCGTATGTGCAAGTGGGGCCTTGATTGACTGGAAAGCCAAACAGTCAGAGGCGCCACCATCAGGGTATTGCCTTGCTTCACACGTCTCCCCAAAGATTAAACCCTACCTATAGTCTCCATTGTAGTTCCTTTTTTGGGATACCTTATAAACCCTTTCTATATATATGGTTAAACCAAAAAAAGGAACTACAATGGAGACTATAGGTAGGCCCTAAGCCAAATGTCATCAAGATCCTTCTGGTGGTCCCTTTGGTCCCCTGAACCCCAAGCCGCGCTGATCCATCAACCCTACTGTTAAGCCGGGGCCCTGACTCTAGACCGTATTCTAGCGAGGCTCTTCAATGCTCAATATAGGTGGTTGTTAGCAAACTTAGTTGAAGTTAACGCGATATTGATATAGGCTGGGTTATTCAATTCAGGAGAACGAAACCGTCTACCCGATCGTGGGCCGAAGCTCCTCTTGGAATAGAGTACTAGATCCTAGAATCGATCCTAGACTAGACCGTATAATTTGTAGTAATTTATAACCCAGAAACCCATAAACCCTAAACCCTAAACCCCTAAACCCTAAACTGTGACAAACCCATAAGTAGACCTTTCCACCATGTCACCCGCACCTCGCTGTAGCGATCGGCATAGCGGAAGCGAAGCTCGTAGGTTCCTTGGGGGAAGCTTCCGAGGACTTCGGGTTTAGGGCTCAGAGTGAAGGGGACCAATGGCCTTAGGGTTTAGAGGGTTTAGGGGGCTTTAGGGTTCAGAGGATGTTTTGGGTTTAGAGAGTTTTGAGGGTTGAGAATCTAGAGGGTGTAGTATTTCAGGCACAGGGCGACCCTAAACCCTGAACTCTAAACTCTATAAACCCTAAACCCTGAACCCTGAACCCTAAATCAGAACTTGAAGTAAACCCGCAATGAACGCGTCGAGACGCCGGCTCCAGCGGTTGCCTCGACGTTGAAATCGATGCGGTCCTCAGGCACAGGGAGACGGTTTAGGGTTTAGGGTTTAGGGATTAGAGTGTCTGTGGCTACAGATTTCAGAATGCCGGAGGGCTTTATGTCCTTGTCATGGCTTTAATCGCAGGGGTTGCCAGAACCCCGGCCGATGTTTTTGACGTGAATCCCCAAGCCCCATACAACCCTGAACCCTAGCCCTAATCCCCACAGACCCCCAAGCCCCCAGCCCCACCTGTGGCCCAAACGACGCACCTTAATAGAAACCGTAACAAGCAACCCCCAAAAAAGTAGGTCTTTTCGGCTACAGGCAAGCCCTCTAAGCCCTAACGCCCCAAACTGTGAGCCCCACTAAAATCCTGTCCCAAATTGTGGGGCCCACCAAAATGAACCCCCCCCCCCCGCTCCCAAGCCGTAAACCCTGTAAACCCCAAGCCCGAAGCAGCGGTGGAGGGCTAAGTAAGACTCGACGAGCTCCAGGGTTTGGGGTTCGGACCCTGGCAGGACCTCCAGGGCTTAGGGTTTAGGGTTCAGGGTCTTGGTTTAGGGCTTACCTATAGTCTCCATTGTAGCTCCTTTTTTTGATTTAACCTAAAGGTGAAAGGGTGTTTTTGTTCTAAGTGCAGCGGCTCCTGCTCTTGCCACGCCGGGAATGTGCATGCCCTGTTGGACATTCAACTTTGGGACTTAAGGGCCTAGGGCTTAGGCCCAAAATTCCCACATTCCTATAATAATAATAATAATAATAAATAATAATAATAATTAATGATAATAATTAATAATAATAATAGAAACCATAGTAAGGAACACCAAAAAGTAGTTCTTTTCGGCTACAGGTAGGGCTTATTTAGGTGTTAGAGATTTGATCTGGTGTCACGTGAGCCGTGAACCGCAGCTACAGCCAAGAGCCTCCAGGCCGAAAACAACATAAACGGTTGAGTGTAGAATTACTTAGACGCTGTGAGGGCACCTCTATAGAAGCATCGAGTGTAAAGTTAAAAACACGTTACTTGGGGGGGGGGGGAAGTTGATATAACTATAGTTTCCTTACTTGAAGCCCGACTGACGAAGTCACCCGATACTTTGAGTAATCGCAAGCCCTTTGTCTGGGCATCACGGCAAAAATGCAACAACTCAAGATCCCTCGCCTACCAGGATCCTACCGGGCGCATACTGCTTGCTGCATCAGCTTGCAAGTCACAACGAAAGCCGCATATCATTTCAAAATTCATATGACATGCCCTAAGGCCTACATCTGAAAATCCCCGAATCAACGTCTATAAACTCGCCGTAACGTCTGGATAAATCCATGCAGAGGTCCTCGAAAGAAAGAACAAACTCGGCGTAGCCGCTTCCTGTGCTGCCTTGCATTTCAAAGGGAGGTTTCAGGAAGTCAGGGTTTGGGGTTCAGCTGGACCCTGAACAAAACCTACCTGTTTCGGGCTTGTTACTATGACTTCTTTCTATAAGTCCTGAATACGTTTGGTTATTCGGGGTCCAGGCAGGGTGTAGGGGTAGGTGTTTCTGTTGAGAGTAACCCTGAAATCCAAGCACAATTGAAGCCTTTGTTTTGCATTGTTCCGAGATTCATATTGTTTCCATAACAAGAATCATGGATTTCGGACCGTAGCTGGGATCACCGCGTCTCAAGTTTAGTCTTTTCAGAGAGTTGGGGGTCCCTTAGTAATGATTCACAAGGTTGAGGGTTTCGGGTTTTGGGGTTTTGGGGTTTAGGGTTTAGGGTTTAGGGTGTAGAGCTTAGGGTTGGGGTCTAGAAGAGTTCGTCGGGCTTGCATATGGGTGTCGAGGATCTATAGGCTTAAAGGCTCTGAACCAAAGCAGGCTCCAGTGGTAGAATCTATGTATTCAGTTATTTGCTTTTCTTTGCTTATGTATGTACGTATCCGTGTAAGTAAGTAAGTCTATGTAATATCAGTAAGTCAGTAAGTATGTATGTATCCCGCCGGGGCTCGGGCCTATACCCGAACTCTTGTTGAACTCGAAGCGCACACCCCCTGCAAAAAAGGCTTACAACGCCAATAGGCTTCATCACAACCCCTACATCAAAAACACACACTCAACCCAAGCCGTGAAAGTAACAGTAGGTTCTTAGTAGACATCTCGGTACCAACAGCATGTACTATACAGCTATATACTTGAACCCTGAATTTGAGCCTCATCCCTAAGCCCTAATACCCCAAAACTCTAAACCCTAAAGCCTAAAACCCTTAACCCTGAACCTTCGTCGCAAATCCTAATCTCTAGGCTCAAGCCACCATCGCAGAACGCGGAGCCCTGCATGAGTGGGGAAGACTCGGCCGAAACGGCACAAGGAAGCTCAGCCTGGTCAGCGGTGTCATATACAGCATATATATATATATATATGTTAGGGTTTAGTGTTTAGGGTTTAGGGTTTAGTGTTTAGGGTAGTTCTCTATTAGGGTCCCGTTTTAGGTCCCCAATATAGATAGTACGGCACCCTTATTAAAAGGATCCGAAAAGGGACCCTAATTTAGAAAACTTCCCATATACAGGCCTTCAGGATTTGTATAGGGTCTTGGGAATCCTGCGGAATGATACTGTGTGTTTTTTGGGCTTCTGTACTAGGCTGTTTGGGGGTTCTGGGGTTTCGGACTTAGGGGTTTAAGGGTTGAGGGTGCAGCTTGGAGCGCTCAGAAAGGATAGCTTGGGAGTTGACTTTGCTGATTTATTGGGGTTTAGGACTTGAGAGAGAGCTCAGGACTCTGGAATTGGAAGATCGGCTGTTGAGTCTAAGGCTTAAGAAATGAATCTTCAGGTTGTTGCGTCTGCTTGTTTTTATGGTTTAGGGCCGGGTTGAGGGGGCGGACTTTCGAGGATTGTAGTAGTAGCTTAGCATAGGGGCCCTAATAATCAGAGTAGGGTTTTGTGGGGCACATTATGCTAGAGTTATGATAAGGAAGCCCCCCCAAAAAAACAAACATAGGAAATCATTTAGGACCCTATGTTAGATGACTCCTGCAGTCTGCAGTGCACAAAGCACCGAACCCAAACCCAAATCCGAGTGGCTCGGAGATCACGGTCCTAAGACCTAAAACCTTCTACTATAGGGGCCTTGATAATTAGAATAGGGTTTCGGGGTGAGTTATACTATGATTATGAGAAGGAACCTCCAAACCCTATTCTAACTACTAAGGCCCCTACATGAATAAGCCACAACTCCCAAAGTATCCCTTGATTTTGCTATGCCTGATTTGCGTGTTTGTAGGTTTTTATGCAGAGGGTGATGGGTGGGGCGAGGATACGAGAAGCTGCTGGTTTGAGGGCTTGGGCGTTGTGGCTCAGAGTTTGTTGCAAGCCTGGCTCCTGAACTCTCATCCCTAAGCATTCTGAGTGCTACTATGTTAAACGAAACTACAGGTGGGGAGTTTAGGGTATATAGGGCTTCTAGAAAGCTTCTATAAGGTATATAAACCTTCTATATAGGCTCCTATAACGGTAACTACCCATCTGAAAATGTCCTAGACTATGTTCACCTGCTGCTTTCGGCAATCTCATCAGCAACAACATAAGCCCCTACCATAAGGCTCATGGATCCCCATAGTGAAAGCCCAAACCTTCCCCTAGAAAGCCCATAGCAGCAATAAGAGCCTTAGGGTAGAGCCCTGAACCCATGGACCCTCCCTCTGAAAGCCCATTTCAAAACGAGAATCACGCTTCGCGAGCCAGATAGCAACCCTAAGCTCTAAACCCTAAGCCCCTAAACCCTAAACCCTTTTCCCCGAAAGATAACAACCCCTAATTCTAGAGACCAAGAACGACTCATAGGGTCGTTTGGTTACCGACCCGTCAACAAACTGGAGCGCTCGGGATCCTCAACACCTAAGTTAAAGGAAACTACAGGTGGGGAGTTTAGGGTACATAGGGCTTCTATAAGGCTTCTATAAGGTATGTAGAGCTTCTATAAGGCTACTATAACGGTAACTACCCACCTGAAAATGTCCTAGACTAAGCTGCGAGGTTTAGGGTTTAGGGTCACAGGCCTTGAGGTCTTAGGGTTTTGGGGTTTGGGGTTTCGGGCTCAGGGTTTAGATTGAGGTTTAGGGTTGAGGGTCACAGGCCTTAAGGTCTTAGGGTTTAGGGTTTGGGGTTCAGGGTCACAGGCCTTAAGGTCTTAGGGTTCGGGGTTTAGGGTTTAGGGTTCATGGTTTAAATTAGGGTTTGGGGTTTGGGGTCTCAAGGTTTAGGGTCTTAGGGTTAAACGTTTGGGGCTTGGGGGTTATAGGGTTTGGGATTTAGGGTTTAGGGTCCTACAAAACTGGGGAGAGCGTGTAGGAAGAGACGGAAAGGATAGCATAGAAAGCCCCCTCTGGAATCCCATCACAGAGCTCTAAAGCCCTCAGCCCTGAACCGCTACATCTGCAATGATGTTATTAACGAAACCAAACAAACAAACAAACAAACAAACAAACAAACAAACAAACAAACAAACAGAGTTTAGGGAACATTAGCCCCCCCGCTTCCGAAACCACTCCGGCTTCTGGCCTTCGAACCATGAAGCCTGCCATAGCAGCGGTTTTGAAGGAAGGGCTGGCTTCGATTTCGAGTTTCCTGAATGGCTCCACTTGTGTAAATCGGACCAAATTGCGTCAAAGTAAATGTCTAAGATCTAGGTTTTTTTGGGGGGATTACAGTAAGATTTAGGGCTGGTGGTTGAGGGCGTGTTTGGGTCCTGCGAGTTTGGCGGGCAGTAGGGTCCAGCTTGAGCGCTTAACGTCGTTGAATGTTTTGGGAGCTTTCGCATTCAGGGATTTCCGATTCTTCTCAAGGCATATATGCGTATGCCACACGCCATGCAGGGCGGGAGCAGTTCTCCAGTTTCTGGTCCGTTCCAGGGTCCATGATACAAGCAATCTCAATGTTTTGTTGGAGTATCCGCGACTGCCAGTTGGGGAATTACGTATGTGGCCCGTGGACATCTCAACTTTCAAGCTTGACGGCGGGAAAGGAGATGATCCCGACAGAGGCGCCTTAGGCCTGAAGATCAACCCCCTGCTATGCTTCCAACATGAAAAACCCCTAAACCCTAAACCCTAAACCCTGAACCCCAATAGCTAAAGCTAGGAACCCTGGACCCTAAACCCTGAATCTCCGAAGCCTCAGAAAATTCTGAAAACCTGCACCCTAAATCCTACATCCATACTCTAAGGGTCCATGCGCCCAACTAGTATATGCTTTGGGGACTACTTTAAGGCCAAAGTATATACTGACCCTAAACCCTAAACCCTAAACCCCAACCCCTAAACCCTAAATCCCTTAGGGATACATCTCAAGCTCCCGGGCCTGACGGTGTCAAAAGTGAAGCCGCCGCTGCTTCGGTTCTCTTCGGCCTTACCGCAGAACGGTTTAGGGTTTAGGGGTTTAGGATTTAGGGTTTAGGGCCCCTTACCGGGTTCTACCTGAACCCTGAAGAATTTGCCATGTTTAGTGCTCCTTCTCAGGGTGTCCTTATACTAATGCCATAGAACGGTAGGTTCTTCAGTGACCAGGTAAACCCTGACAGCCCTAAACCAAGCTTCATGTTTTGGGACTTTACCCCAAACCCTAAACCCTAAACCGCGCCCCAAATTGGGGCACCGTGTTGAACACTTGGGATTTGGGGTTTTAAAACTGGGCTTTGAAGTAACCAGGGAGAAAAAAGTACAGGGTTTTAGGATTTTAGGGTTTAGGGTTTAGGGTTTAGGGGTATAGACTTTTACTTCATACTGGTTCCTTTAAGGAACAGGTCCCAAACAAAGAGTATTAAAGTATGGCACTCCAAAGCCCAGTAAAGGTGTTGAGGGTCTGGTAAGGACCGAGGTCTTGAGGGTGTAATGTAGGGGCCTAAATAATCACCAATACTACTTTGGGGGCCCCTTACTAAACTTATAGTAGAATGGGCCCCACAACCCTCTTCTGATTCTCCCTAAATTAGGTCTTGGCATCTTCGGATTTGTGGTTTTGGCTCGGGGCTTGGGCTTCATGGTGGGTACTCTATCGCTTTCGGGTTGAGCACTGGCTTGAGCAAGGTCTCTTATAAACGGAAATAGGGTTTAGGGTTCAGGGCCTGGTTTAGTATTATAAGGACTTACGACTTTGGACCAAAGGCTACGTTTCAGAATCGGGGTATCTCTAGTCTGCGCAGGCTTCGAGCAACAACTTTCAGCACCAAGCCCTGAACCACTACCCTTCTGAGAGTCCAAATGCCCAGTCTTGGTTTTACCGAGGCCTTAATCATTAGAATAAGGTTTTTGGGGGTATGTTCAGCTAGCAATGACCATTTCCGTTTTCCAATCATGCAACCCCCCCTAATTAGCACCCAAACCATAACAACCTATACCTCACCCATGGAACCACCGAAAGACCCACACCAAGACCCACATGACAAAACCCATACTGTGGAACCATGCCCAACCCCACAGAAAAGAAACAAAAAACAACCTCAACCCCCTACACCCGCACGCCCATAGAAAAACCCATACTCCCAACCCGAAATCCTTAATAATTGAAAATGGAAAAGGTATCTTCTAATAATTCACCTATAATAGGAATAAGGTTTAGGAATAAGGTTGGGAAAGTAGTTGCAATCTGGTCGGATTTCGATTTCCGCGCGTCTTCCATGGTTTCTATGAGAATATCGCATGCTGGGTTGCATTAGCAGGACATAGCATACTATGAGCAGAGCGCTGTTTAAGTGTTATGGTCAAATTCTGTCAGAAGAGGAACTGAATTTAAGTTACGGTATTGGGATTCTATATAGTAACAGGGCTTCCTCATTACAGCAGCTTCGTGCCCTGACCCCTAAACCCTAAAGCGTGTAAGTTCCTTCACAGCAAACCAGCAAAGAGTGAGAAGGGGCGCCTGGTAGTACCGACCGGGACTCAAGGATACCTGGGCAAAAGAAGAGGGGTTTAGGGTTTAGGGTTTAGGGCTTCCAAATCGATTCATGAGGCTTAGGATTTCGGTTTCAATCATACCCTGAACCCTACATAAACCCTAAACCTTTCTAGCAGTAGGGCCGGGGGGTATGTATGAGGCTTGGGGATAGAGGTTTGAACTTTAAACTTTGGCATGGGGACTCTGGCTCAATGGGTGTACCCTAAACCCTAAACCGTGTACATACTGCAGTTTAGGGTTTACGGGCTTAGGGTTTGCCAGGGAACTCCGTGGTGTTTAGGGTTTAGGGTTTAGGGTATGGTTTTGGGGCATATTCGACGAAAGCTGTGCATGTATTGACTCGTTGACTGATTATTACAAGGCCTTGAAAGGAGATGCGGGGATGCTCCATCTCCCACCCGCGGCTGCAAGGCTTTAGGATTTAGGGTTTATGGTTTAGAGTGTATGATCAGAAAAGGAAGGACTTGCAGCCGGTCTGCAGCGCGTATCCGATGATTTCGCATGTCTGCCACATACCTTGGCAGCCAAAGACGGCTTAGGGTTTAGGGTTTAGGGTTTAGGCAGCTTAGACGTCTGGTCTTCGACATTTCTCCAAACCAACTAAGCACGCAAACCAAGGCGGTTATAACCAAGACAGTGTAATTGAGTAGAAAGTCCCTTCAGTCATCGTTAGCCTAGCAGATCCCCCCAATCATAAGCTGCGGAAGCGATAGTCTAGGGAACATGGCTGGAGGTGTTTACTTGTTTCTGAAGGCTGGCCTCGGGTAAAGCTAATTGTACTGTTCGGAATTGTACCGGCAATGAGCGGTAGGTAGCCTAGAAACTGTCATCGTGGACTACTGTTACATATGGTATCCTGTTGTACCGGAGTTTGAGAAAACAGCAGACCCGAATGTAGACCCTCTGATAAATATGTCCTGACAGACAGTTTGGATCCCCACAGAACGAGGAAACAACACCCCAGTATTCCGTAGCATTCACGAATCCCTAACTCTAAAGTCTTGACGCCTAAACTCCGAAGACCAAAGTAATAGCATGACCCAAACCCTAAACCCTAAACCCTCCGTCCGGGATGTAACAAAGAAGAGAGTTCAGAAACCTGTGTCAAAGTTTTGACACCCTGAAGCTTACGACCTCAATTTGAAGTCGTAAGCTTCAGGGTTTAAGGGGTTTAGGGTTTCGGGCTTTCTAACCCTTATAAACCCTAAACCCTAAACCCTAAACCCTGGCCTTTTTCGCGCAGTCGTCCTGAGGAGGAGCCCCGTAGAGGCAGGCAATGTACAGTCCCCTTTAGAAAACGAAGGGTTCAGGGTTTGGGAAGCTTAGGATTTGGGTTTATGGTTTTGTATTAGGGTTTAGGGTTTAGGGTTATTATCTATGGGCATACGGCACAGGGCTCAGGTGGATTCGGGGTTTAGATTGGAAGGATTTGAGAATTACCTTATGAACCCAAAACCCACTTTTTGTAGGTTCTTATTATAAACCCTAATATGGGATTTATAGGGACCCTGCAAAAAAGTAGGTTTTGGGCTGTTAAGGTATGTAGGGCCTCCGCGGGCGTGGAGTTTCTGGGGGTGTGGGATCCTTAAGCTCAAACCCCTAAGCCCTAAACCCTAAACCTTAAACCCTAAACCCTGAACCCTAAACCCTAAACCAAAACCCTAAACCCTGAACCCTAAACCCTAAACCCTAAACCCTGGCAGCACTAACGGACTCGAGGCCCCTGAATGGCCAAGTTGCAGGATATCGTTCGGTGCATCTAATGCCAAGCCCGTAGGCAGATCTTGGCCAGGTAAGTCAAAGGCAGGTTTAGGGTTTAGGGTTTAGGGGTTTAGGGTTTAGGGGTTTAGGGTTTAGGGTTTGGGGTTTAGGGTTTGGGGCATGGGTCGAACACAAAGCTTACCTTTAGTGCGCAGCTGGAATATGAACCTTCTTGCCGAACCTTGACAAACGTGACGGCTCGTTCAACCACTCTGAACTTAATATCGGGGCCTTAGTGTCAGAAGAGGGCTTGGGCGACAACTACTACTTCAAGCCTAGCTATTCAGACTCCTATGTCGACGACCTCCAATTGGGTCTAGCCATTGACACCTGCATCTTCCAGGTAGACATGCGAGTTTCCTAGGTGCCTCATGCTCTAGCTAACTATATACCAAATACCTATGGCTACAACGACCTGCCGTGAGAAAGGGCTAGCAGAATGGGAACAGAATGTGGGTATGTTGTAGTATCATTTTTGTGAAAGCCCTACGGAACACGACTACGCATTATTCGATCCCTGGACAATAGTGTGCCGTCAGAATGCCTCGTTTTCGGGACCTCTCACACTTCACACTGCCGCAGGGAGCGCATATGCACAAAACGGTCATCACAACAGCCATTCCAATCTCCAATTACCTCAACCCTACACCCTGAACCCCAAACAATCCTCCCGCAAAAGAATGCACTGCTTTGGGCCCCGAAATGCAGCAGATCGACTGAAGAGCGCGGTGGCAGCCCCGCCGTCTGCGAAGCCATCCTCTCAATCTTAGGGTTTAGGGGTTTAAGGTTTAGGGTTTAGGGTTTCAGGTTGACCTCTACTAGACTTCGCAAGTACGGTGAGAAGTAAGGCAAGTATATTAGCTAACTACATGTAACTCGAATGGATGTGTCTACTTCTTACCCAAATTGAGGCCGAGGTACTCGGTACTTATGGTGCCATTTAGTAAGACACTTCATCTCTAATAATTAATAATCGAAGCCCGGCTAACTGTGTAAGAGGGGGCTATACTAAACTTACATAGGACCTTCTCTGGGAAGTTCCGACACACATCAGGTTAGTGGGCTTCTAAGGAAGCTGACATTATTGTGGAGAGTTCACTGAGTCTGGTGTAGCTGCGTAGCCGATTCAGAGAACTCTGGCTCTTAAAGACGCTCCCGGCATAGGCTTTTCCATGAGGGCGATCAAGAAGCAGCAATGTCTTGATGTCCCGTAAACCCTGAACCGTATAAGCCCAAGTGCACGGCACATCACCGATCCGCCTCTCCAGTCCCTGCCACGGTCTCCTCGCAGGGAATGCAAGGTGGCTCTACCGTCCTTGAACCCGACAGTAGGGATCTGGGGGAGAATGAGAGGGGTCACTAAACCTTGAACTCTTAAAGTGAGAGCCCTGAACCCTCAAAAACCAAACAACAACTTGGATATCCACAAATCCCGTGACCTCAACCCTGCATACAGAAAGCCCCCCTGCTAAACCTCCATATCGGTTCCTCAACTCCCCCTCAAATCCTGAACCTTAACCCTACGCTTCAGGGAAACCTACACCCCGGCCCCCCAAAAAGATTAATCCCTAAACCTTGCACCCTGAACCCTAAACCGTTCGAGGGAAACCCCAGACCAGACCCTAAACCCTACTGCCCGTTAAGGGAACCCTAATCCCTAAATCATCTTACAGTGAAGCCCAGAAAGTTGGCGCATTGGTTTAGGACAAAACCCCAAACCCGAAACCCTAATCCCTAAACCCTGATCCCTAAATCATCTCAAAACCCAAACCCCTCTTAGAAAACCCTAAACCCTAATCCCTAAATCATCTCAAAACCCAAACCCCTCTTACTTAGAAAACCCTAAACCCTAATTTCCAAATCATCTCAAAACCCAAACCCCTCTTTCTTAGAAAACCCTGAACCCTAATTCCTAAATCATCTCAAAACCCAAACCCCTCTTACTTAGAAAACCCTAATCCCTAAATCATCTCAAAACCCAAAACCCTCTTAGGGGATACCTTTAAGCCCAAAACCCTAATCCCTGATCCCTAAATCATCTCAAAACCCAAAACCCTAAACCCTAAACCCTAAAACCCAAAATCCCTAAGTCATCTCAAAACCCAAAACCCCTCTTCTGTCTGGTGCTTAGTAGGGAATGGGGGAATGGATCCCTATGATAGTCCCATAAGGTCCCTAGTAGTCCCTATAACCCATTCCCCCATTCTCT